GCCTCATGTACCTGATGACTTGTGCTCGACCGGACCTCCCCTTTCCCCTCAGCGTCCTCTCTCGCTTTGTTGCGACTAGGAGACACCGTCCTGTTCACTGGACGGCAGCTGTGAGGGTGGCGAAGTACCTGGCGATTACCACACGCATGGGGCTTGTGCTTAGAGGGACATAACCAGTTGTGATGACCGATCACTGCGACTCTTCCTACGCTCACGACGTGCAGACTCAGCGGTCTACTCAGGGGTATAGCTTCAGCTTGGGCGCTGGAGCTGTGTCGTGGCGGGCTACTCGGTCGCAGTATATGACACAGTCTAGCGCAGAGGCCGAGATCTACGCTGGTGCCATGGTTGCGCAGGAGCTTCGCTGGTTGACCTTCTTGCTCACCGACCTTGGTGAGCGGCCTCGCTCTGCCCTGACCTTGTTTGCTGACAACAAGACCATGATCCTCCTGTGTCGAGAGTCTCGACTTGAAAGCAGAGTGAAGCACATCGACATGAGTTACTTTCTTCTGCGAGAGCTACAGCGACGCGGCCAGGCACGTCTGGACTTTGTGGCCTCAGCGGCCAACATTGCATACGTCTTCACCAAGGCGCTTTCGCCTGGTGACCACCACAGGTTTTGTCTTCGGTTAGGCCTTGTTGAGGCAGGCCCTCGACTGCTGTAGTCTTGCCTCTTGTTTCTTGCTCTGTTTGTTCTTATTTTTATATATACTTGTGAACTTCTGAACTGGCCTTGTGGCGGCTTGCTTGTGCTCAGACTGTGTGGTGACTTCGTGATCCACCCTGAGCTTTGCGTTGTTGCTTCTCTTGACTGATCTTGTGATCATTTGTGTTTGTTGTCCCTCACTTAGCCTATGGGAGTGTGTCAAACTACATATATGTGTATGTAGGCTGTAGTGAGGAAGACAGTAGGGAATACAACCCTTTTAGGGTTGGTATATGTTTTTGAACTCTTGCTAGTCAATCCATTCCGCTTGCACACTTTGAGAACAACTCCTGAGTCGCCCCAGCACCAATCGCAACCTTTTCCGATCCATCATCGCCCGACGTCCCCGCCTAGCTAGGATTCCCTCTATAAAATCTCGTTACATTCACTGTATCGTCACTCTGTAAATTCACAGTCTCGTTATTCGTTATTTTCCGCACTCTGTAAGTTTATTAATAACAATCTCAAACTAGAAAAGCATGCTGTTGTGACTGAATTGAATGATAAAATCACCTTCCTCCTGAAACTTGTTGGAGTCCAGGGCTTATGCTAAGATTTGTGCTAGCTCTGACGATCCGAGCCTGTCCTAAAAATACCCTTGGAAATCCAATGTTTCGCTGGACATCAATGTTTCACAACGAGGCAGAATGCGAAGTAATTCTGCACTTTTTGATAGTTTCCACTTTATGGGTATGAACCAACAATGCTTACTTTCGCCTTTTCCCTTTTCTCGCTTTCCGCCCGCCCTTCCTTACGGCTCTCACCTCTAGCCTTCTCCTCTCGCATACATGCATCTCCCATTTCAATTTTTGTCTCTTGACTACCTCACCTCGTTTGTCACGAACGGAGTTATCATCAGTTTGGTCCAATGTTAATGTGTCCACACAGCCGTATCTCTACGCCAACTTCTCAATAGTAAATTAGTGGAATTTGCGAGACTAGTAAGGGGTAGGGTACAAGTAGGAGTGTCAAGAGAATTGTTGTACCCTATACTGAAAACCTCACTATTGACTATAATATCTAACTAAGACATATATAATTTGACACAACTCTCTTAGCATGTTGCCTCGTCTCACACTTGGGATGCTAATTAATATGTACTTGCTTTCGTAGCCAGAATTTGTCCATCATCTTTCCATCCACCGTTGAGCCATGTCCCCGCCACACCACAGAGTCGTCATTTTCCTCTCACACTCCTCCCTCCTTCTAGGTGAATTCATTTTTTCTCATTGCTGAAGAGCATATCAGGCCAGGACCAACAGGACCTACCGAGACAGCCATACCCCCACCGCAGCATGCATCTATCTCGCCGACAGATTACTCGAACCACCTAACGAGGGAATGCCAATGATGGAAATCGCCACCACCACAGGAGCCGTTTTTTCCCAGGGTGCCTCGGGAACTTGACGCCACATATGACAGGTTCCAATGGATCCTGCGGAGCGAATCGCGCGGCACGTATGACGACGGTGGACGGGCACGACTGTACAACAAGGCAACTTACCTGGCCCTATTCCCCCATTGGCGCTACGGTGGAGGAAGATGAGGAGCTAACACAACAAGAAGCAGAAGAACTCTACGGACAAAGCGAAGCTCAAGGCTGGGGCAACATCGCCCTTTGAGGACGGGAGCTGATATCGGTGGAGAGTGGGGCACATCAAATGGCGAAGGATGGGCAAGCGTCACCAGAGGCGGATGGGGTACTTCTGGTGGAGGATGGGGCTCACCGCACGTAGGCTGGGGTCAATGCGCAATGGAAGAAGGCCCCAACTAGGGTGCATGGGGCGCCAAGGTCAGCCGAAAGAATTAAGGCTGGTAACAGAAGTCTCACCCCGGTCACCCTTCGTGCTAACCAGCGCAACCAACAACAACATCTCCAGAAAGGCCGCACCGCGAACCGTGGAACACAATCGCTTGGGGTTCCTCTCCGCGTACCTCATGACCCACCAAACCAATCGCTTATGACCGGTAGTACTTCCGGACATACTACGAAGAAGGACCAGCACTCCCCGAAGTCATCCAAGGTTCTCATCCGCCGCAACTGCCTCTCTCGGAACCAGAGCCAGAAGGAGGCGACACCACTGAAGGCACCGTCGAAGACACCAACATTCCCCTCACATTCATCGTCGACATAAACTTCCTCGCGTTTGCACTCTCGACGTCGACGGAGGAAGTTGAGCCGGAATCCGCAGTAACCCTTGAAGAATCTCGCAAGCGCTATCTTTGCACTCCTGGCGTTCGTGCAGGCGACGCCCTCTGGCATCAGCGCCTCGATCGTGCTAGACGCTAAACAATTGCCTCACCGACAAAGTATTCACACCCAGAACCATCCTACGCCCTCACAACACGGCGTTTGAACCACAACACAACCCCACATTCCCAAAGTGGCGCTCACTTACCATACCCCCCCCCCGCTCGAACCAGGAACCAATCGATACACGAAGCTCTACAGGGTGTACATCGACTTCAAGATCGTCGGCTTGAACGGGCTCAATGACGAAGGTTACAATTTGACGTTCATCTACAAAAGCACACGCTAGGTCTAGATAGCATGCAGTATCGGAGCAGGGCGTACGAGGTCTTCCACTTGTGGTTTGCTCACGCGCAACGACAGTCAAAGGAGAACCTACAAATTTGGCAGGCGGATGGCGCAACAGAGTTTCGGAGCAAGGAACTTTAAGATTTCTGAGCGACAAGGGAATTCTGCATCCACAGTAAGGCGTTGCCCAGCGAACAAGTTACATGCTTATTACAAAGGTACGGGCACTACTCAAACAGTCGAATAAGGAAAGTAGTGTAGGAAATGAAATAGAGAATAGAAATAAGAGAAATGAGGACAGAACGGACGGCGTACTCTCACACGATGGTCTGCCGGCTGAACAAATCCATGTATGGAATCAATAGGTTCCTCCACTATGGCAGCAGCACCTACACAAGATACTCCTCGACATCGGCGTCGCACAGCTGCCACACGACCCTTGGATGTATAGCCTACACTTCTAAGTTTCGCTCACCGTGTACGTCGAATTCCTGTTGTGCACAAGAACAAGCAACAAAGTGCTCGATCAGTTCAAGAAGAACCTAGAAAGCCGTGTCGACACCACCTCTAACCACAACATAACGCAGTTTCTAGGCCTGAACATCTCCTACTCTCCTAAAGCCATTCATATCTTAGCTTCAAAATATACTGAGACACTCTTGAAGCGCTTCAGAATTCCATTCGCACCACTCTCAAATCCCTCCCGCACACTTGGACCGAACCACAAACTAGACAACAAACCCCTCTCTCTAGCAGGACTACAACTTTACAAGCAGCAACCCGGTTGCCTACTGTTCGCCTCCGTCACATGCAGACCCAATCTCTCATACAAAGCGAGTCAGCTTGTATAGTACTCCCGCAAGCCAGTGGAAGAGAACCTGCTCGATCTTCAATGCACTCTGCAGTATTTTGTCTCAACTCCCAACATTGGGCTCTCCTACTCCACCCTCACACCTCGATCTTTCAATCTCACCAGTTACATGGACGCCGATCATGCCGCTGATGCAGACAATCGATGGTCACGAACCGGCTTCCTCTTTCGACTCGAGTCGACGGGCCCAATCCCCTGGAACTCACAGAAACATGAGTTGGTTGCCTTGTCGTTCATCGAATCATAATTATTCCCGCTATCGTCGCTGCAATACCTTATCGTCAAGGACGAAATTGACAAGGGGAAAGTTGACTTGAAGTACTGCCCCACGGGTGACCTGGCAGCTTATTTCCTCACAAAATGATTGCCATGTAAGCAATACCAGCACTGCGCCAACCTAAGTTGCATCACCAAACGCGAGAGGACCTGCTACGACCAGGAGTGAATGGGAATGTTATGATATGAAATATTTAAGGCCTTTTCGCTCGTAACAAAGTCAAGCCTTACCGAGTACGAAAGTTGAAGGGTCGTGATGAGTCGAAGAGTCGAAGACGGTTGCGGTCAAGATGGTAGCTAGAAGAAAAGACATGAACCATTCAGAAAGGTTACCTCATCGCACTATTAAGAAGCAACTGTAATAAGGGAATGCACCCCTTAGAGTACATGGCTAGTTATGACCTTTCGAACTCCTTTGTAATCTTATATAAACACTTCTGTTGTTTTACATCACTGTCACAGGTATCACTAATCAACATTTCCGTTGTGCACTACATGCGAACAACCTTGAGCAAGATCTTGACTAAAGTCCTCTACAAATTGAAACAAATATGTAATTGCTTTCGTGATCCTCATTTGGCCATCCACTCTCCATCCAACGTTGAGCCATGTCCCCGCCACACCACACAGGTTGTCATTTTCTTCTCACACTCCTCCTTCCTTCTAGGTAATTGCATATTTTATTGATAGCGGAAGCGAATATCAGGAAAGGGATATCAAAGGAGGAGGGGGTGGAGGAGGAGGAAGAGGAGGAGGAGGAGGAGGAGGAGGAGGAGGAGGAGGAGGAGGGGGGTGGAGGAGGAGGAGGAGGAGGAGGAGGAGGAGGAGGAGGAGGAGGAGTAGGAGGAGCAGGAGGAGGAGGAGGAGGAGGAGGAGGAGGAGGAGGAGGAGGAGGAGGAGGAGGAGGAGGAGGAGGAGGAGGAGGAGGAGGAGGAGCAGCAGCAGGAGAGGAGGAGGAGGAGCAGGAGGAGGAGGAGGAGGAGGAGGAGGAGGAGGAGGAGGAGGAGGAGGAGGAGGAGGAGGAGGAGGAGGAGGCAGAGGATGGGGAGGGGGGTGGGGGAAGAGGTGGGGGAGGAGGTAGAGGAGGAGAGGGTGGTGTTACAGATAGAGCATTTGCTTGGAACTGTTTTCTTAGAATATGTCCTTTCATATCCAATTACAATAGCATCTCTCTTGCAAATTCCATGATTGTTTCATAACCTAGCTACCGGTAAAACTTTCATAACTCATGTGTGTGTGCGTTCGCGCCAATGTAGGTACCTGTGTATGCTTGTATATGTGTGTATGCTTGTACATGTGTGTATGGATGTATGTGTGTGTGTGTATGTGTATGTGTGCGTGTGTGTATGTGTGTGGGTGTGTGTGTGTGTGCGTATGTGTGCGTGTGTGTGCGTGTGTCTGTGTGCGTGCGTATGTGTGTGTATGTGTGTATGTGTGTGTTTATGTGTATGTGTATGCATGTGTGTGTGTACGTGGTTGTGTATGTGTGTGTGTGAATGTGTGGATGTGTGTGCACGTGTGTGTGTGTGTGTGTATGTGTGTGTATGTGTGTGTGTGTGTGTATGTGTGTGTATGTGTGTGTGTGTGTATGTGTGTGTGTGTGTGTGTGTATGTGTGCGTGTATGTGTGTATGTGTGTGTGTGTGTATGTGTGTGTGTGTGTATGTGTGTGTGTGTGTGTATGTGTGTGTGTGTGTGTGTGTGTGGGTGTGTGTGTGTGTGTATGTGTGTGTGTGTGTGTGTGCGTGTGGGCGTGTGCGCGTGTGCGCGTGTGCGCGTGTGTGCGTGTGAGCGTGTGAGCGCGTGCGTGCGTGCGTGCGTGCGTGCGTGCGTGCGTGCGTGTGTGTGTGTGTGTGTGTGTGTATGTGTGTGTGTATGTGTGTGTGTGTGTGTGTGTGTGTGTGTGTGTGTGTATGTGTGTGTGTGTGTGTGTGTGTGTGTGTGTGTGTGTGTGTGTGTGTGTTTGTGTATGTGTGCATCCATATGTGTGTATGTGCGTTTGTATGTGCGTGTGTGATTGTGTATGTGCGTCCGTGTGTGTGTACGTGTGTACGTGTGTGTGTGCGTACGTGTGTGACTCTTACCACTATTTGGGCACATTGACTACAACATATGCTGTTACTTAGAGACAATAAATACGTGTAGCTTTATTGCGATAGTTTTCCGGCTGGACGAAGCTGGAAACGAGTCCTCATGGTTTTGGCGGAATCCTCTGCGACAGTGTGGAGTGTCAGAAAGAGCTGCGGGCAGGGGCCAATCCCAGATCCGTAAGGGAGATGAGAGGGAGGGAAAACTTCTCGGAAATACGAATTCCGAGGCGGGAAAAGTACGGCGGAACCCCCAAGAGTCAGGCTGGGCGGGTGCTGAAAGTTATGCCCAACTTTCAACTTTCATTGAAGTCATGCTGTAGAGTAGAACGCCAAGAAAATCACTGAACTGCATTCAAGTAGGCCTTGGGAAACAACTATGGAGGCAACAGCATTCATCTTATCACATTCTCACCACATTAGATTTGAGCCATCCGTTCTCTCCGACTCCCGGATGGACTGCCCATAACATTCCACGTGATACTTGTGAGTGGTGAGTGCGTCGACGCTACAGAATTTGCTCTACACGTTGTGCCACGTCAAACAAAACAACGCGACGGGGCCTTCATCCTGAAAGTCATTCAGCGGTGAACCCTCCTCGACAACCCCTATTTTCCTCTCGTTTTACTAATGAACGCGTCACGTAGTGTCTCCCTTTCGTGTTCCTCACTCCCCTACATCAGCTCGTGCGCCTCGTGCAGCCTTCCATGTTCGCTGAATCTCCTTCTGCAAGAGTTAACATATTCTTAGGACAACCGCATTTCAAGAATGGCGTTCCGCGGGTCTGTTGCGCGGCTGCTCGTTGTTCCGTATTTCCTACTCGCGTTCGCCTCGCTGACTACAACCCAGCGCGTCGCGGTAAGTGAGTACGAATCGGGAAGCGGCACGACCGCTCCGTAACCACCGGAGCTGAGTAGCAAGGGCCGCCTTAGAGACTGCGAAAAATATGCAACCACAGATCTGAACGTCTCTTCTTCCTTTCTTCCTCCTACATTCCCCCCACTCCCCACCCCTCTCCCTCCCCGCCCCCCACAAACCCCTCCCTCCCTCCCTCCCTCCCTCCCTCCCTCACTCCCTCCCTCCCTCCCTCCCTCCCTCCCTCCCTCCCTCCCTCCCTCCCTCCCTCCCTCCCTCCCTCCCTCCCTCCCTCCCTCCCTCCCTCCCTCTCTCCCTCCATCCCTCCATCCCTCCCTCCCTCCCTCCCTCCCTCCCTCCCTCCCTCCCTCCCTCCCTCCCTCCCTCCCTCCCTCCCTCCCTCCCTCCCTCCCTCCCTCCCTCCCTCCCTCCCTCCCTCCCTCCCTCCCTCCCTCCCTCCTCCATTCTTCCTCCTTCCCCGCTCCCGCCGTAATTCTCCCACACTCTCTCCTAGCCTTGTCGTTGAATGCCTCCTCTTTGTTCGTTTGCTTCTGTTTCGGCGTTTTTTATTTTGATTGTTTTTTTCATGCCCGCATTCACCTGCCGCTGGCAGGAGCGGCAGCTGCGGCAGCGGGATCGCGTGTCGCGCTTTCTGGACTTTAATTTCTCCGAAGCGGACGGCTTGTGCGGGTCATGGGCTAGTGACTACGCCGCATTGCACAGTCGAATACTGGAGCGCGCCTTTGAAGAGTATCTGGCCCAGCAGCACGCGGAGACGACAGGGGATCAAAAGCAGGAAGTTCCGTCAGAGGGGCCTCTGGTAGTAAAGCCTTCTGTGACAAGCCAGCCGGTGGGGACGAGGGAGGGGATAGAGGTGGAGGTGCAGAAGAAAGAATTCGAGGACGAGGTAAAGGAGGAAGCGGTGGCGGAGGAGGGGGTGGGGGAGAAGGAGGTGGGGGAGAAGGAGGTGGGGGAGGAGGGGGTGGGGGAGAAGGAGGTGGGGGAGAAGGAGGTGGGGGAGAAGGAGGTGGGGGAGAAACCGAAGCAAACGTCGAAGCAAAAGCAAGAGCCGGTGCTGAATCAGGAGCAGGAGCAGGAGCAGGAGCAGGAGCAGCAACAGAAGCAGAAGCAGAAGCAGAAGCAGAAGCAGCAGCAGCAGAAGAAGAAGCAGCAGAAGAAGAAGAAGCAGCAGCAGCAGAAGAAGCAGCAGAAACAGAAGAAGAAGCAGCAGACGCAGCAGCAGAAGCAGCAGACGCAGAAGAAGAAGCAGCAGACGCAGCAGCAGAAGCAGCAGGGGGTTCGCCGGCGGAACCTGCAAGAAGGACCTCATAATACCTCCTCCTCCTCCTCCTCCTCCTCCTCCTCCTCCTCCTCCTCCTCCTCCTCCTCCTCCTCCTCCTCCTCCTCCTCCTCCTCCTCCTCCCCGTCCCCCCCCTCCTCTCCCTCCCTCTCCCCCACTCCCCCATCCCCACAAGACCCTCCCATCCGCTTCCTCACATTCGAGTGGTTGGACGGCTGTGGGGGCTTCGCGGACGTGCTAGCGGGGCTGGTAACCGCATTCGTCGTGGCTATACTCGACAACCGCGCACTCATAATCCGCAACGACTGCCTCCCCGCAGCCTTCGAACCCAACCTGATCAACTGGGCATCCGGCCCGTTCGTGCCCTTGGAACCTGCGCGGAAGCTCGCGCTAGTGGAGGACAGCGAGGGGAGGTCGGTCCCGGAGCGCGCGCGCGACGGGGAGGTGGTGCGGCTGTGGCTGCGGAATAAGTTTGTGAAGATCGAGCCGTTCTTCAAGGAGCTGGAAGGGGCGGTGAACGTGCGCATGACGAGCAACCGCGGCGTGCTGACGTGGCTGCAGATGAAGGCGGAGGGGGAGTGGGCGGAGCGGTTCAAGGCGATGGGCATGCGCCTCCCGTACGCGCTCGGTTGCTCGCTGCGGTTCCTCATGCGGTGAGGGCGCGGGGGGGGGGAGGGGGAACGGGTTGGCAGATAAGAGACAAAACAGCAATACCACTCCCCATTCCCCAAACCGTTACCTCCCGACCCTCTTGTCTTCTCACTTGCTCATGTTCTCACCCTTCCCAATCACCTCCCCATTCCCCTCCCCATTCCCCATTCTCTGCTCTCCCGACTCCCTCCCCCCTCTTCCATTCTCCCATCAATCCTCTTCAAACATTCTTTCCAGCTGTAGCCAGAGGTGCGGGGATCACCCAGTCCCCTCCCCCCACCCCACTCCCTCCTCTCTTCCCGCTCCTAACAATCTTCCAGTCTCAACTCAAGCCAGAGGTTCACGCCCACTTCCCCGTTCCCTCCTCTCTCCCCCCTCTCCAAACACCCCCGCAGGCCCAAGCCAGAGGTGCAAGCGCTGTTCCAGAGTATTGAGCAGCGCCTGCGCAGGAGGCCGTGGGTGGCGAGGGGAGGGCTGAGGAGGCCCAGGGTGGCGACAGTGGGGATACACATCCGCGTGAAGGATGCGGTGGTGTGGGCGGGCGACAGGGGTGCGCCCAAGGAGCTGTCTGCGAGGCAGGTGGACGTGCTTCTCTCTCGCGCCAGAAAGTGGATCTCGTGTGCTCGGGTGAGTGGGGCGAAGGGGGAGTGGGGCGAAGGGGGAGTGGGGCGAAGGGGGAGTGGGGCGAAGGGGGAGTGGGGAGAAGGGGGAGTGGGGCGAAGGGGGAGTGGGGAACTGGGAGTGGGAAGGTTGGGAAGGGGAGGGTTTGGGGTCAATGTTTCGTCAAGCGGAGACTTAAGGGGTGTTGTTACCCCATGTTGTTACCCATGTTGTTACCCATGTTGTTACCCATGTTGTTACCCAAGTTGTTACCCATGTTGTTACCCATGTTGTTACCCATGTTGTTACCCATGTTGTTACCCATGTTGTTACCCATGTTGTTACCCATGTTGTTACCCATGTTGTTACCCCATGCTGTTACCCAAGTTGTTACCCCATGTGTACATCTATCTAGTCTCGCTGTGAACCAGAGCATGGGTCCAAAACTACCCAAAGGTTCAAGGTCTTTCCCCGCAACAGTACGCTATGTCAGCGTGCGAAGTAGGTCTGGCTACCATCGCCCTGACTGCCCTCGACTTCCTTCATCTCTCCCCGCGCCCCCTTTCCAACCTACCTGGCGACCTCCTCGCCCCGTGTCCGCGTGGCACCAGCGGGTGGAGGAGTTCTGGTTCCCGTCGTCCCTTGCGGTGCGCTGGATGCTCATCACCAACTCCGCGCAGCTCAAGGCTGCCATCAAATCCAGGTTCCCCTACAAGGTCTGTGTGAAGAAGGGGGGGGGGGGGGTGAGAGTGAGTGTGTGTGTGAGAGAGAAAGAGAGAGAGGGAGAGTGTGACGTGTGTGCGTGTGTGTGATACTCAGTGGGGAAGGGGGTGCGATGGACTGGGGGGGAAGAAAAGGGGGGGCGGGGAGTGGGTGGGAACCAGCACTTGGCTCTCCTTGTGTCATTTCTGGGGCTGTCTTTCTGGGACTGAGCTCTTGATAATAACTCACGGCTCTCAATATCTGGTTCGTGTGTCAGTTTGCTATGAGAAGTGTTGGGAACAAGATGATAATCTTCTCTTCTTGTTCTTGCCCTCTCTCTCTCTCTCTCTCTCTTTCTCCCTTCTTTTCTCTGAACCGACCAGGTTATCACTACCGACTTTATACCTCGGCATTCCAATAGTCTGGGCTCTGGCAGCACTATAAATGGCTCCTCTACTCTAAGCCACAGGGAATTTGACCGGAAACAGCAGGAAGAGACAAAGCGCGAGCAGGAGAGACTGTTCCAAGAGCTGGTAACGGAATGGCTGTTGCTGGCCTCTTGTGATGCGTATGTTATTTCCGAGTCTGGTTATTCAAGCACGGCCGTATACTATGCTTCTAGGCCCATGGCTGCTTTTGTAACAGGGAATTGTGACCCTGAGACGCCTTTGCAAGCTACATATGTTCCAGGCCAGGCTAGAGGTAGGATATAGAAACGGTCTGTGCAAAGTATAGCTTCAATGTAATGTAGGTGTGTTCTCTATAATACATAATATATACGTATAAATAGGACTTAATGCTCAGGTTAATAACGCACCCGCTTCTGACGATTTCTTTGTCTGCCCTCACCCAATCTCATTTTCCGAACTCAATTCCCTCACTAATGGTGCCCCCAATACTCCGCGTTCTGCGCCTCGGCGTCACGCCGTACCTCACGGCGCTCGACCTCCAAGCCCGCGCCGCCGCTCGACGCGCTGGTCGCTCCGCCACCGCCTCCCCCTCTCCCCCGGATTCCGCGAATTCCCCCAAAATCCCGCCATCTCCAGACCTACTCCTCGCCCTGCAACATCCGCCAGTAGTAACGATCGGCAAGCGGCAAGCCGTCGGCGCGAGTCATATAATCGCTGGCGATGAGGAGTTAGCAGCGAGGGGGGTGGAAGTCCATAGAACCGCGCGTGGCGGTGACGCCACGTTTCACGGCCCCGGCCAGGCCGTGCTGTACCCCGTGCTTCGGCTGCCAGACCTGAGGCTCGGCGCGCGGCGCTACGTGGAAGGCCTGGAGGACCTGATGGTTCGGGGTGCTGCGAGGTTCGGCGTGGAGGCTCGGGGGAGGGTTCCGGGAATGACGGGGGTGTGGGTGGGATGGGACGAGGAGGGTTCTGATGGCGAATGTGCAGGCGTTGATGGTTCAGGTGGTATTTCAGGTGGTGGTTCCAATATTACCACTTCAGAAGGAGGGTCAGGGAGGAAAATCGGTGCTGTTGGTGTGCAGATATCAGGAGGTGTGACAAGACACGGGTTGGCCTTCAATATAAGCACAGACCTTTCGTTTTTTAAGCTTATAGTGCCCTGTGGGCTAGAGGGTAAAGCGGTGACGTCTTTAAACGAGGAAAGAAGGCGGTCTGCTGGGAGGGTTAGGAGGATAGGAGGCGTGGAGGAGGGGGGGAATGGGAGGAGCATGGGAACGGGAGCAAATGTTTTTTGTAATGCAGTTACAGATGCAGGTGTAGATGTGGATGTGGAGGCAGTAACGGATGTGCTTATAGAGGAGTTTGTGAGGGAGTTTGGGTTTGACGAGGAGAGGTGCAGTGATGAGCAGCAGTGGTTGAGGTGACTCGGTAATCAGCTTCCTTAAATCATAGGGGGACGGGGGGACCATTACCGTTTATTACAATTTTATTATTTTTTAGGAGACCAGGTATTATATGTGGAACTGGTTGGAAGAGGAGCAAGGAGCGTTCACTCACAGACTTTCGTGTTCAACCAGCCAGTACTATTGGCACTGTATCTGCCACTGTACGTTCTTAGAGCCTGTTTTACGGTATCCAGCTCCCAACTGAGGCTACAGCAGCACAGGCAGTACGGGATGAGAAGATGAGCCCCCCCAACGGTGGTGCTGACACACTGACAGAGAGTACATGGTGAATACGAGAAGGCTCTGTCAAGCATAATGCATTGTTGGAAAGTATAGCATCATAGGCATCACTGTAACTAGTATCTGTTTAGTGCAGATGAAAATTATGGTGTCACAGGTCACCACACCATCATGTTGAAAAGCCATGTACGGTACCGGTACGGGTTGTTCCGGTGGTATAAGAGTCACAGCATCACATTTCATGGTGTACAGTATACATATGGGCGCGTTGCGCTTCGTCTCTTACACACTCCTGCTCCTACACGCACCAGCCACTCTTCACTTCACCACGTAGAAACTCTTAGCCGATTATTATGCAACCTGCCCAGGAATTTGTCAAGGCATGCAACTCCCCATTGCTCAGATCCTTGAGAGCATGACTTTGATCCCTTTCCATCATGGCTTGTTGTTCTCTTCCCCATCATGCCATCTCTGCTTCATCTGCACGCCCTTCCGTCCCTCCTCATCGGCACCACTGGCAGCACTGATACTAGCAGCAGCAATACCACCACCACTGTCAGCTCCTCCTGCTGTCCTGCCCTCTGTGATTTCAACAGCATCGCTATTGCTGCCCCTCTTGCTTCTGCTACTGCTGCTCTGCTTTCTGGTTCCACTGTTGCTACTCTTGCTCTTGCTGCTGCTACGCTTGCTGCCGCCACTGCCGCCACTGCTGCCACTGCTGTCACTCGTGCCTGTGTTCCCTCTGCTGCTTCTGATGCTTGTTAGTACTGCACTTGAACCTTTTGCAGTAGCCATCCCACTGCTGCTTGTGCTGCTGCTGCTGCCACTGGTTTGGGATATTTTAGCTGTGCTGTTGCTGCTGCTGCTGCTGCTGGTGCTGTTAGTGGTCGTGCCACTGCTGTTGGTGTTGGTGCTGCTGGTGCTGGTGCTGCTGCTGGTGCTATTGGTGCTGCTGCTGGTGCCATTGGTGCTGCTGCTGGTGCTGTTGGTGCTGCTGGCGGTGCTATTGGTGCCTGTGCCACTGCCACCAGTGGTGGTGGAGAGGGGATAGGCCACCCTGTGAGAAAGGGAGAGAGGGAGAGTAGAGTAGATGAGAGAAGGAACGTGAAGAGAACGTGAAAAAACGGAACATGCAACAGACAACAAGTCCCAACAACTGAAACGCAGAGATTTTCCACTACAAAAAACATGACTAGCAGATTATGAACAACAATATCGGCATTGTTTTAGACTTTCTTCAAAAACAGCTCCAGTGTACAACTATTGACAGTGACATAGCAGGAAAGAACTGTGTCACTCACCCGCATTTGGCTGCCTGAGCAGCAATATTATCCATCTTGGAAGCAGCAATGCTGATTGTGCTCCACCCCCCACCTCCCACAATCTTCGGACTTGCCACCCTAATGCTGGTCCCGTACGCGTTCCTATAACGAGAGCCCAAACTGGGGTAGGTAGACTGCAAGGACCGTTTGAGATTGATGGATTCGAGGGAGATGGAGCGGCAGGGGGTGCTGGGGCTGCAGGAGAAATCGATTCCGCGGCTGCCGTTGCTGTAGCCGGTGACGTTACGATAAGAGACGTTGAAAATGGCTATTGCGTTGCCGCTGCTGCTTGTGCAGCCCGCGGGTCCCACATTGTTCCGATCGCAATAGTTCTGGAAATGCGTGAAGGGTTGGTTGGAAATAGGTGGAAAGTCAATGGGGAAAAGGAAGGGATTTGGCGGGGGATGGTGGGGAATAGGTGGTAACTGGTAGAAGCAAATGATACAGAGCGGCCCCAAGTCAGCAAGAGAGAAGGATTGTGGACAGAAAGGGTAAAGCAGGTCAACATGTCTTTGCAAGTGAAGAATCAGATAAAAAAGACGGTATCAGCGTAGACTCAGCTACTAACATATATGAAGTGAATGTAACTGAGAACATGGTAGAATTGCATGTAGGAACCAAATGTGGCAACCGGACATGGTGACAAGACATGGTAACCAGACACGGTAACAGGACATGGACACTGCGCATGGGAACCAGGCATGGCGAGCGCACATGGTAACCCTACCTGGTCGATGATGATTGCATTGGTAACATCCTGCATGGTGACGTTTTCGTAGAGGATGTTCCAGACGGCGCCCTGGCCGCCCTGGTAGGTTTTGATGCGCAGCCCGTTGGAGAGCGCTGCTAGCTGCACGTTCTGCACCCGGATGTCCGACACACACGCCAGACTGCCGTCCACTCCCAGACTGCCGATGCTGGTGAAGGAGAAGAGTAGGGAAGGAAAACAGACAAGCGATGGCACGGTGAGATGACTGCAGTCCATGCCCAGACCGCCGATGCTGGTCGAGGGGGGAGTGGGGAGGGGGAGAAAGGGGGGACTGATCAAGGTATGAATATGCTGCGTGCTTGACACGAATTTGGTTGCGGACGCTTCTGCGAGGCTTTTGACACACACACACACACACACACACACGCTCGCACGCTCGCACACGTACACACGCACACAAAGGTCATTCTGATGCCTCTCTAGCTCTGATGCCATTCCCACCTGATGCCATGCCCAGCAGTGCACAGTAGGTCCCTCAGCAGTATGTTGCTGCTGCCGCCCGTGATTGCCACATTGTCGTCACCTGCAGCACACATTGCAACGTCACAGGTTACAATAAATAAAATGAATGCTTGGAGGAAAGCAAGATTTCTGCAAAGCGATTTCCATACCTGCATGCAGCTTGCAGTGCTCTACAGTGACGTTTGTGGACATGCCGTTGCCAATGCTGTCTGTGTTCGGGCTGTCTGCTGGCGTACGCGTTTTAACGCCAACGATTCGCACGTTGCTACAGCGGTACAGGTGCAGGTGCTGCATGGGGGGATTCCTGGGGTACACGCAATCACAAGGAGGGAGGGGCAGGCGTGATCAATGAACAAAGCATGCTGCATCTAATTATATTCTAACAGGTTTGCTGGTATGCGTTCACAGGGCGACAAGGTGACAGGAAACTGGGCAACAAGAGTGAAAACACAGGATGCAAATCTAATGCAGGAAGGCAGCAACTGCCAGAGATTTCACCAAGCTGAATCACCTGCAACACTTACTTAAGTGTGATTCCGCTGATTTCCACGTTGGTGCACCGATGCAGGTACAACATTCCAGGCCTGATCTTCTTATTCCACTTAAGCTGCTTCTTATTAAACTGGTCCCACCACGCAAAACCCATGCCATTGATGGAGCCTCCCCCGATGATCCTCAGCCGTTGGATCCGGTCCAGGAGCAGAATGAAATCAGGAACCCCGCGAAACGCAAGTGGATTCAGCGGAAAGACGAGTTTTCCGTTCAGGCGGATCGTTATATTCCCTGCCCCGCACGGGCCTTGCCAAACCATCGGGCTCCCAAACTTAAACACCTTCCCTTTCGGAATCACCACTATGGCATGCCTCCCCGCCTTGCTCTTCTCAGCAGCAGGGACGGCAGCATCAGCCGCGTAACGACACGCTGCCTCAAATGCCGCCGTGATTGGACGCGCGTCGTTCACGATCCCGTTACCCGCCGCTCCGAAATCGTCAACGACGTGGAAGACATTCGCGGGGCGTTTTTTCGCGCAGAGGACGCGTGGGGAGCGGGAGCAGCGTGCGGGAGCGAAGAAGCAAGAGGGGAAGGGGAAGCAGGCGGCTGGGGAGGCGATGCGATTTCCGTACCACACGCAACGACTTCTGCGACAGCGGTCGCCGTCGTCGCATGCGTCTGGATTGGACGGTGCGGTCACAGGGAGAGGGATGGGATGCGAAAGTGCGAGGGGACAGAGCGAAGAAAAGAAAGAGAGAATGATTGTGAGTGAGAGAGAGTGAGCGAGAGAGACAAAGAGAGAGAGAGCGAGCGAGAGAGAGACAGAGAGAGGGATTTGCCATGCAGCTTGGGGAAGGGGCTCACTGGGAAAGGTCTTGACGATCTTGCACTGCGCGTTGAGGGCGAATCGGCAGTCGCCGCTGAGCACTCGCTGCTTGCCGTGGGGCGCCCACGCGTCGGACGGGGAGAGCGTGGTGCTGCAATGGCGGGGATTCAAGTAGAGCACATTCGGAGAAGGTGATAAAAAACGATATTCTCACTGAATATTTTCGGAAATAATAATAAATTTTAGCAACAAAGCGCTCGTGCCCCCTCCGCAACCCACCCTCTCCCCCCACACACACGTGTGCACACACATTACGCTCGTCCGCTTGCTAGTTGCCGGCGCGCACACGTCGAGGCGCGCACACGTCGAGGCGCGCACACTCTGCTTCTGAGAATTCACCCATACGCATATGCCCCTCCCCCTCTCCACCCCGAAGCCCGGACCCGTTCCCGCCCCCGTCCCCGCCGCCACACCTCAGCCACGTACTTGCGCGGGTTGATGTACTTAAGAGTAAACCGCCCCGTCTTGTAGTAGTACATGCACGCGCCGCGCTTCTTCGGAAGCACGCGCGACCCGTCGAAAAGCAGCAACTCGCGCCGCTTCATCTGCTCGCGAGATACTGGATTGCGCTCGTTGCTTCTCCAAGCTTTCTCCATCTCCTCTCCATCCGATGCCGCTTCCTCCATCGCCATACTCTCCTTCTCGTTCCTCCCCACTTCCCCCCCTGCCGCGGCCGTTCCGCCGGTTCCGCCCCCCGATTCCGGTTGAACTTCCGCCGTCACCCCCCCACGCGCATTCCGCCAGACCACGCGCCTGTTTACGCGCCCCCCTTGCCATTCCGCCACAAGCGGCTGGCGATCTTCCGAGACGCCCTGCGACGTCACGTGCAACATGTCGTGCGACAAATCGAACTTCTCCTGTTGCCCAAGCGCCGGGGGATGCGGGGAGGCAGTTAGCGGAGGCGAAACAGGCGGAAACGGATTTGCGCGGAGGTTGCGCAAAGCGGGGGCAGTTGGGCGGAAGGGCCGCGGAATAATCGGAGCTAGATCCAAGGCGCTAAGTGTCCCTGCCAGAACCGGGGAGAGATGAAAGAGGGAAAATATTTCGGAGACCACAGTCTGACGGACGCGAAATGAAATAAATGCACCGAACCTGGCCCAGAAAAAAACGCGAGATTTGGAAAGGATTCGTCTCAAGCTTACCGATCAATAGTACGAAAGTTGTCAAAGCGGCGGCGGCCATGGGATGGCTGCCGATTCGGGACTCCATGAGTTAGGGAGTTGCAAGAACCTGTTAGCGGCCTTATGAAGCGCCACTATAACTATACAGGTCCTACGGATTTTGGTGCGCGTCGTCTAGGATCTACTACTCATGCACCACGGTCCACTGTTATAGGCTTTCCGGAACAAGCTTCACTGTTATAGGCGCGTTCACCGCGGCTCGTGCTGGACATGCTATTCCAGCTGTTGCTATTTTATGGAGAGAGTGTCGTTTTGGGAATCTCATACGACCATGATGTATGCGCGGAACGCCTTACTTAAAAGAGTGAGTGTGAGTTTGAGGGTGGTACTGCTCGTCTACACGAACAGGGAGCAGGGAGCATCTCGCCGAACGAATAGGTCGTGCAATGATAATTACAGCTTATCAGGGGCGTGAAACGAGTGGTGAGTTACTAGTCAAGAAGATAGTGTGCGCATAAGTTGATTTGGCAGATCGAATATCGCGGTCGACATTGCAGAAGCGAGTACTAAGAACTTCTGACGGTTAGAATTTGGGCGCCATCCAAGGCCACTACTAACTTGTAGTCGGTGAAAAGGCTCAACTGCACTATTCGCTTGCAGCTCTGGCGGCGAGTGTCCCTGGAAAAATATATCTCCCGCGCAGGCAGCTGCTCGTGGTGACAAACCGTCCGTCCGTATTGTTGTGCCAAATAGTAGCAGGAACACGGGTGCGGGTGGAATTTTCGTTCCATTGCACGGCTGATGCTGTTTTGCTATGCGAATGCGACAGTCGTTCAGACGAAATTCATCAGTCAGCTCGGTCGGTGTGAGATAGTGGCGCGGGTGATTTCAAATTGAGAGGGGAGGGGGCAAGACACCAACATACTGATCCCGGATAATTTGACATAACTGGGCGGGAGGGAGAGGCTCAGAGGGTCTGGTCGCCGACATTCCTTCCCGTTGTGAAAGCCAAGGCGGTGCGGGGTGAACAGAAAATGCGCGGCTCTGTCTTCCAGTTTTTGCTGTGGTTTAGGGTGGTTACAGTTGCACATGGGGCTGGACTTGATACAGTACAGAAAGAGTACAATCGAATCGACCCATTTGAGCTTACGGTTCAAAAGAAAATTACTCGCAGCGCATCGCAACGCAAGCCTCCTCATCATAGCTGGTGGAAAATTATGCCAAACTTGCACGACGCGACGCTGTAGGCTTGGGTGGTTTGTGTTCGGCTCTGGCACAAGCTTGTTTGTGCCACTAGGCTTGGTAGGATTCCCTTCTCTGACATATTCCAAGTGGCATGTGCCAATCCGCCGATACACGGCGGCAAATCCCAGCGCTTGTTTGGGAACAAGGGTCTGACTTCAGCTAATGGCGAAAGCCAAGGTTCGGCCAAAGCTGCTTCTCTGCCAATCAGCGCTGGTCCCTCCTTTTTGAACTTAGATGAACATTGGCAGGCGCAGTCCTTTCTGAAGGGTGCACAGGAGTCACACACTTCGTTGCATCGAGTTATGTGGTTACAGAAGGCAAAATATGCTACCACATGCAATCCACGCACTCTTCGGGGCAAGGGAGGCTTTGGGGCTCCTTGAAGCTCCACCGCCTTGTCACCCTCGTGGCACCGTAGTCGGCTTCCCCCACCCCCTTTGAACCAACCATCATCACGGTTGAACTCGGTAACTTACGCTATAAGACGGTGCCGCTCCTGTGTTGTGGAGAAATGTCCTGAACCGTAATATTGGACGAACAGAAATTGAGCGCGCTGAAGTTTGTCTTCTGATGTGGTGTGGTGGGAGGAATACGGAGGATGTTTTCACATCAAAGCGACTGCACTTCACGCAGATTTGAAACTCTGACAGAAACTCGCCCACACCGACCGATGTCCTGCCCCGCTGTTGCCACCTCCCCTTCACAAATACACCCAACCGTCGCAGGCGCAAGGGCAAACCTGGTCGCTGCCAAGCCACCGACAGCAACCCGTGCCCACCGGACGCGGGAACTCCAGCGCGTGATGCGTATTCAATTCTCACCTGTTGGTCAGCATTTTTTACGACGCTAGCAGTTTCGACGGGATACGCATCAAGCACCTACTTTTCCGTCCTTCTCTCCGCGTTCCAGCAAAGAGCTTACAGCTGAGAGAGCCACCGGAAAGTCTCTACCATAACAGCGCACGCGACATTTGCGCGGCATTGATTCCGGCCCTATTATAAGGATCTAAGATCGTCATTCGTGTTCGATTCCAGCATCATGCGCAGGTTACAAATCTCCGGCATTCGCGTTCGACTCTCTGCGTGTGTGACTCCCTAAAGCCGTTGGCATTCTCCCTTTCACCCTAGAGCGCCTCGACCCTCCCAGCCGTACGAGCATCGTAGAAGAGCAGTGGTGTACGAGCACAATGGTCCTATGATATCATCCCTGCGTCGCCATAGAAACAAAGTAAATCGTTTCCGCGTCGCGTCTCTGCGGCTCTGATGCTATCGGCACTCGTACTTAAACACCACCTAGGGATTGGACTAGGTTGTACGGTAGTAGACCCTTTGCGACTGCGTCCTTCATGCCGATCCATGGCGCCAGTCGCCATGCGATCCGCGCACCGTCGTCGCACAAGCGTCGCACGTTTTCGCTAACACACCATCACCACCAGCTGCAAGTGCGAGTGCGACTGCGACTGCGACTACTCCTCGCTCTCATCGTGCCGCTGCTGACGTCAGCTTCCCCAGGTAACACCCGTTGCTCCGTCAGTCTCCCGTCAACGTCGGTCTGTCAACCTCCGTCATGGGCACGACGGCAAGCCGCACGCCGAACCTTCAACCTTTCTCTCTTTTCCCGACGATGTCAGTTTACGCTGTGGCAGCGGCGTCGCAGATACCAATCTCTCTTTTCTCTCACCTCACCCCGAACTCTGCCACTTCCCCCGACCTTCCCCCACCTCCCCCCTCCAGCGATCGCCGTCCACCGGTCCTCCCGGGTAGACAACTCATCTGCCGGTAGTGGCGCCGGCGGCGACCGCGACAGTGACGCGCCACCGGCGCCGTCGGTGCTGCTGGCCGTTGCGTGCGTGTTCGACAACCGCACGCAGTCGTTCGCCGCGACTGTTGTGAACCCCCTCCTGTAAGCCTCTCCTCTACACGCTGGGTTCTCGCGCACGCGCACGCGCACGCTCACGCGCGAATGTTTTATCGACGCGACAGTTGTGAGCCTCCCGCCATAAGACTCTCCTTCACGAGCACACGCGAAACGAGCACCCGCCGCGGTTGCCATCACTCCTGTTCTCATGCCAGGGACTCGTGCCGCGCGTGCTTCGTCTACCATGTTGCGCTCTGGTAGTCGTAATTTGTGTGAGTGTGCGTGCCACGCACGTGCAGATGTATGTGTCCAGCTACGCGCGTGCGTGAAGCTCCGCGCGTGCGTCTTCATAACCCCTCTCCTGCGTGTACGTGTAACACAGCGCATTTCCTTTCGCGGACCCCCCCTTGCGTCTTTCCCCTTTCTCTCCCGACCCGCGCCTGCGCAGCACCACATTGTCGGCCGACAGCGGCTGGGCGCCTCCTGACGGCCAGACCTGGCGGAACGGCAACTGCCGGTTCCTTCTGTCGGCCCGCTGCGCCGTGGTTCGGCATTTCCCAGGTACGGAACGGAGCGCTCTTTCATTTGGAGCCGCTCTATCATATGATGGCGAATCTAGGTTGGCATATGCGTGTGAAAGGAGAGCTTACAAAGGCGACTCTCTCTGTGCGTGAGAAGCTAATGTGACACGATATTATACAGATTTGAAGAAATTGCTTTGTTTCTGCCTTCCGCTTACTCTCTTCCGCTCCCCCGTCCCCGTCCAGATGGCTGCGCGGATCCCGACCCTTGCGCGTCCGCGACTTGCGCGTGGAATGGCGGGCGCCCCGCGGCCCTGGCGGGATGCGCGCCGTTCCCCGCGTGCTACTTCGCGGGGGGGTTGTGTCGGCGGAAGCGCAAGCGTTCCCCCGAATGCCTCGTCCGCGACGCCGCGATTTCCGCCGCTGCTGTTACGTCTCCTGTCCGAAGCGCCACTGTTCGGGTTACCAGTAGCCACACTCTAAAAAGCCAACGTGGCAAGGCAAGCCACGTCACTGCCGCTGCCGCTAAAACCTCGCCCCTGCCCAAGAAACTGCCCCCAAAGAAAATACCGCGTCCCCCCGTGCGGGCCCGGTCCGCGCGCCCGCCTCCGCCTCGGTCCCCGGCCTCCCCGCGCTCCCCTCCTCCGCATAAGGGGGCGGCGGTAAAAAAGTCCCCCCCTGTCTTTCGTTGGAAATCTCCCCCTCCCCACCGGCGCAGAAGATCCCCTCCGCCATTCCGCCACAAGAAATCCCCCCCTCCCTTCCGCAAGAAGTCCCCCCCGCCCTTCCGGATAAAGTCTCCCCCACCCCACGGCAAGGCGAGACCCCCAAAGAAACCTGACAATTTCCCGCCCGATGCGCTTCTTTCGTCCCCGCCGCCTCCGCGGCCGCCGCCCCCGCGGCCGCCGCCAAGCCCCCCGCCAAAGCCGCCGCCCAGCCCCCCGCCCAGCCCACCGCCTCCGAAACGATCTCCTCCCCCGCCTCCGCGCCCTCCTTCCCCGCCGCCTCGGCCTCCCCCCCGTCCCCCGCGCCCTCCTCCCCGCCCGCCCTCCCCGCCACCATCTCCGCCATCACCTCCGCGCAGCCCTCCGCGTCCCCCCCCCTCCCCTCCGTCTCCCCCACCCTCTCCCCCGCCCCGCCCTCCATCTCCCCCTCCATCTCCCCCTCCCAGTCCCCCTCCACTCCCGCCTCCTCGCTCCCCATCTCCTCCCCCGCCGTCTCCCCCTCGCCCACCTCCCCCGCGACCTCCCCCGCGGCCTCCCCCATCCCCGCCACCGTCTCCGCCTCCCCGTCCCCCACGACCGCCGCCACCCGCACCTCCCCCCCCTCGGCCACCGCAGCCGCCGACTCCCCCGCCGAGTCCCCCCCCGCGCCCCCCCCCGCGCCCCCCTCCGCCCTCGCCCCGTCCGCCTCCCCCTCGGCCTCCCCCATCACCGCCTCCCCGTCCTCCTCCATCTCCCCCCAAACCTCCGCCACCGATTCTTCCCCCACCCCCACCCCCGCGCCCACCCCTTCCGCCACCCTCCCCTCCGCCCAGACCTCCCCCTCGTCCCCCACCCAGCCCTCCAGTTCCCCCCCCACCTTCTCCGCCTCCCCCATCCCCTTCCCCCTCACCCCCTCAACCCCCCCCGCCTTCTCCCCCACCGCTTCCCCCTCCTCCTTCTCCCCCTCCGCCCAGCCCCCCGCCACCGCCTTCCCCGCCGCCTCCGCCGCCTCCGCTTCCGCCGCTACCGCCGGGCCAATACGACCCGCGGTACCTGGGCGCCGTGGGGGACGGCTCTGCCAACGACACGGGACCGGTGCAAGCGACGTTCAAGCAGGCGTGTGCTTACGCGAGCGCGACGGGCGCTCGCGCTACAATCACACTTCCCGAAGGCTACACGTTCTTACTAAGTCGGGCTATAAATTTCGCCGGGCCGTGCGGCACGGGGACGATAACGGTGCAGCTAGATGGGATCCTAGCCGCGGACCCGAATCCTTCTGCGATTGGCTCAAATCCCCCGAATTCCGCGATCGTGTCAATTAGCAAGATTCCGGGGATGAAATTGGTCGGGACGGGCGCGATCGACGGTCAGGGGAGCGTGTGGTGGTCGCGGTACAAAGCGGGGAGCAATGCGGAGCGGCCAGATCTGCTGTTTATATCGCGGTGCAATGGAATGGAGATGGGTGGAATTCAAGTGCGGTGAGTCCACGAAAACAGCGGGGGAAAGGAGAGGTGAGGGGGGGAGGGGGATGGGGGAAAAGGGTGAGAGACATCGGAAGGACGCGGGAGAGTGGGGGAAGGGAGAAGATGGAAAGGGTTGAGAGATACATAAACCTGACCGGAAAAAAATACTTCTCCTCAACTCCCGGTTCCACCTAAACTGACCAAACCTGACCAAACTGACAAAAAATCGTTCTGTTTCCCCTTTTGCCGGTGGCAGTAACCCACCAATGTTCCACTCTTGTGCTCGTTTTTACACTGACGAAAAAGAGCCTTGTGTCTCCTTGTGCCGTGGCAGCAACCCGCCGATGTTCCACATGAACATCAAGGACCTGGCAGGCGCGTGGATCCACGACATCAGCACGAGCACGCCCTACAACAGCCCCAACACCGACAGCCTGCACCTCACTCGGACAACTGACGTGCTCGTGGAAGACTACTCGTCGCACGGAGGTGAGTTGGTGTCGCACGGAGGTGAGCTGGTGTCGCACGGAGGTGAGCTGGTGTCGCACGGAGGTGAGCTGGTGTCGCACGGAGGTGAGCTGGTGTCGCACGGAGGTGCGTGCTTGTGTCTGCACGGGGGCGGTATGCCTTGGCTGCATACCGCGTTTGCAGTGCAATCCTGGCTCCTTGCACATACATGCCTTAGGCTTGTGCTGAACTCGAGGCTTCGGGTGTGCATGGGCCACTCGTTGGTCCGAGAGCGAGGCCCGCGCTAACCTTGGCTTGCTTCCTTTTCCTTGCTTGACCTTTTCCCGCTATTCATTCAACCCTCTCCCCCCTCCCTCCCTCCACCTTCTCCCCTTCGCCCTCTTCCCCCCACCTCTTTCTTTGCTCCCCCCTGCTGCTGCACCAGGCGATGACAATGTGTCGATTGTGGGAGGATGCAGGAACATCACCATTCGCAATGTGGTCGCCACAGCAGGCCATGGCATCAGGTTAGTTGTACATGGGATCATGTGTACATGAGTCATGGCAGAATGGGTGCAAGAGTCATGGGTTCATGGGTGGATGAGTCATGGGCATGAACGCTGCACGTTCTGCACCCTGATGTTCTCTTTTCTCGTCCACCCCTCCCTCCCCTCCCCCTCACCAGCATCGGCAGTCTGGGCGCCGACGGCAGTGTGGCGTGTGTGTGTCAACTGCAAGTTCATATCTTCTTCTTTGCCTTTCTATTTCCTCCCTTTGTTCCACCCTCACCAGCATCGGCAGTCTGGGCATGGACGGCAGTCTGGCGTGTGTGTCGGACATCCGGGTGCAGAACGTGCAGCTAGCAGCGCTCTCCAACGGGCTGCGCATCAAAACCTACCAGGGCGGCCAGGGCGCCGTCTGGAACGTGCTCTATGAAAACGTCACCATGCAGGACGTGAAATACCCCATCATTATTGACCAGGTATGTGTGGGTGTGTGTGTGTGTGTGTGTATGTGTGTGTGTGTGTGTGTGTGTGTGGGTGTGCGTGTGCGTGCGTGCGTGCTTGTGTGTGTGTGTGTGTGTGTGCGTGCGTGTGCGTGTGTGTGTGTGTGTGTGCGTGTGCGCGCGTGTGTGTGCGTGCGTGTGCACTTGCGTGTGTGTGCGTGTGCGTGTGCGTGTGTGTGTGTGTGCGCGCCTGCATGCTGTACACGTTGCGGTTATGTCTGTACCATGCCGCCTCGTAATTGCTTTCCTTGCCTGTCCTATCCACTCTCTCCTGCACCCAGTCCCCCTTTCCTTTGCACTCACTTCCCTCAATCCACTCCCTTGCTCTGCTCTCTCTCTCTCTCTCTCTCTCTCTCTCTCTCTCTCTCTCTCTCTCTCTCTCTCTCCTCCCCCCCACTCCCTCCCCACCACACCAGTACTACTGTGACAAGAGCGATGCAAGCGCCACCACGTGTCTCATCCAGCAAGACGCACTTGCCATCTTCAACATCACATACCGCAACGTGCAGGGCACCACCAACGCCACGCGTGGAATCACACTCAACTGCAGCGCCTCCGTGCCGTGCCAGCAGGTCCGCCTAGATAACATCAACATTGATTCGTCGTATCCGGACGAGCACTCCAAGGCGGTCTTAAAGCCCTCGTATGTGAACGTTTATGGGCTGTCCACAGGGACAATCCTCCCGGCATTGTTTAACGGGACAGGTGTGAGCGGGTGGGTGGATGCGGGGTTGCCTGTAGACCAGGCAACTAATTTTATGAATCAGGTGGCCAAGTGTGGGGTGGTGCAGCCTTGGACCTTCTCTCCTCCTCCTCCCAGCCCCCCTCCCTCTCCTCCTCCTCCCCCTCCCCCCAGCCCGCCGCCGTCGCCGCCGCCCCAACCCCCTCCCATGCCTCCCCCACGCCCTCCGCCTTCCCCCCCTCCTGCTCCGCCTCCTCCCCCCTTGCCTCCCCCTTCTCCCCCTCCCCCTCCCCCTCTTCCTCTTCCGTCCCCACCTCCACCACCCCCTGCTATACCGCCCCCCCCACCCGGTAAACCAGTTTCCAGTGCTTTCACTTCCCCAGAAGAACCCATTTTTCCGAACGACCCATTCATTCTCCCATCCTACTCTTCCCCACCACCACCGCTGCCCTCCACTTTCCCTGAGAACCCCCCACCTCCTCCACCCCAGCAGCTTCCTCTTTCGATACCCACAATCCCTCCACCTCCTCCTGTATTCTCCTTCCCATCTCCTCCTTCCTCCCCTCCTCTACTAATCTCATCAAGCCCTCCTAATCCGCCGGGGCCACTAACACCGTCATTACTGACTAACTCACCACCACCAACAGCACTACCACCACCGCCACCAGCAGCAGTACAACCACTTTAGGTTTTCTGCCACCTCTCTCGACTTTAGGATGAGGGAGTGTAGACTAATTCGGGGCACACCTGGTACGGTATGCCCAGACCTTTGGTTAACAGGGTAAATCACCCTTATGACCCTTTGGTTAACTATAGTTATACTTGTGTTAGATTTGTTACACTACAATGAGGTACATTGTATAGGGTACAACACTTTAGGGTTGCTTACTTGTATCTCATGTTACTAGTCCATACCACGCCGCTGTGCGTATTCTGGCAGTAACCTTTTCCGTTTTTTTAAAGAGCTGGCTGGTTTAGGGCTTCAAGAATAAACAACAATCTTCCACATACGCCAAAAGGTTGGCCAGATTAGCACTCTCTCAGTTATTATGTGGTTTTCATTTATATGATTACGATCATAATACCGGTATATTCTTATTCCTATTCCACCACGCTCTCACCCACTGACAACGCATCCTGCAACAGACGCGCTGTTTGTGGCAAGAGCGCCAGCGGGAAACTTGAAGCTCTGCCGCCTTAGTAACTCTCGTGCCGCCTTGGTCTGCGGCCGTCCGAAATATTCATCCGTCCTCTCCCGCCTTCTTCAACTTATCAACGCTAAATCATTTCTCGCGATTGGGTTTGCTAAACTGCGGTTCATGACGGTGTCGCCCGTGAGCAGACATGCTTGGAGTGTGTCCCCGTTTTTCAAAGCGACTGCCCGCAGTCTGTTCTCAGACAAAAACGGGGACACCGACGCCCGAAGCCGCTGTTCTCACCACCTCCCTCCCTTACCCCGAACCGTCGCAGGCGCAAGGGAAGCCTGGTCTTTTCCAAGCCACCAACAACCCGTGCGCTCTCCAGACACGGCACGTCCTTCATTCCTAGTGCATTCTTCGTTTCTTTCTTGTGTTGGTGAACACTATCCCTGACGTTTAGTTCCGACGGGATACACATCAAGCACCAGCTAGTTTTCCCCTCCTATTCTCAGCGGTTCAGCAAGTAACCACCAGCGAGAGTTTACATATAGGCGTGTTGGAGAAACGATATCACAGCAGCGTTGGCGACATTTGCTCGATTACCGATTAAAACCGATCTGGCCCGTGAGAACAAGCCCTCTGCGCAGGGCAGGGCCGGTTAATAATGGTGGCGGCGCGACAGGTCCTTTTCTATCTAAGAGAGCATAGTTCGGACGTGGCATCATGCGCAGGTCACATGTCTTTCGTATATGTGTTCTCTCGGCGTGTGTCACTCCCGCGCGCGTGTCTCCCTAGTCGTAGTGACCGATATCGTTGACGTTCCTCTCGCCTCGACTCCTCCAGCCGTACGAGCATTTGTAAAAGAGCATTCGTGTAGGAGCAGCGTAGACGAGCATCGATGTACGATCACCATGGCCTTAAAATACGATCCGCGCTTCGCTGTAATACGTTTCTACGTCGCATGTCCGCGGCTCTGATGCTATCGACACTCATACTTGGATACCACCAGGGGAGCGGAGATTAAGACTAGGTCGATACGGTAGTAAACCCGTCGCGCGTGCGTCCTTCATGCCGATCCATGGCGCGTGTCGCCATGCGATCCGTGCACCGTCGTCGCACGAGCGTCGCACGTGTTCGCAAACTCACCACCACCTGCGGCTGCGGCTGCGGCTGCGGCTGCGACTGCGACTGCGACTTCTCCTCGCTTTCATTGTGCTGCTGCTAATGTTAGCCTCCCCAGGTAACACCCGTTGCTCCGTCCGTCTCCCTTGACGTCCGTCTGTCAACCTCCGTCATGAACACGACGGCAAAACCTCTCGCTGATCTTCCAAGCTTTCAGCTTCACAGTTGACGACGCTGGGCGAGTGGCACCGCTCGAAAAACTCACTCACCCCTTGCCTCTTTTCCCCCGTCTCCCCCCCATTCCCGCCGCTTCCCCCGACCTCCCTCCACCTCTCTTCGCCAGCGATTGCCGTCCACAAGTCCTCCCGGGTAGACGACTCATCTGCCGGTAGTAGCGCCGGCGGCGATCGCGACCGCGACGCGCCACCGGCGCCGTCGGTGCTGCAGGCTGTTGCGTGCGTGTTCGACAACCGCACGCAGTCGTTCGCCGCGACTGTCGTGAACCCACTCCTGTAAGCCCCTCATCTACACGCGGGGTTCTCGCGCACGCGCACGCACACGCGCGAATGTTTTTCGACGCGACTGTTGTGAACCCACTCCTGTAAGCCCCTCCTCTTCGAGAAGTTCTCGCACCCGCGCACGCACGCACACATGCAAGTGGTCTTTCGTTGTGACAGGTGTGACCCCACCCCTGTAAGCCTCTCCTTTACACGCACAAGAGTGGAGTGTAGTCTAGACAGGAGTGTCCTTTACATGCAGAAGCGGCACCCTACAATGCAGTCTAGACAGAAGTGATTTCTATGTGAATTGGCAACCCTAGACCGCAGTGCCGTCTCCTGTCTTCACTCGAGTCTTCACTCCTGTCTGCACGCACTCGTGTTGCACTCCAGCAGTCTTGATTTCTATCGTGGATTGCGTTCTAGTGTATCCCGCCTTGCAACTCGTGCGTGCAAGGGGGAAGATGTATGTGTATAGCTCCACGTGTGTGTCTAGCTCCTGTATGCGTGCGCCTGTATAACCCGCCTCCTGCGTGTAACACAACACAGCTCCTTTCGCCACTCAGCCTCCCGGACCCAGCCCCTCTTTGTCGTTTCCCTTTCTCTCTCCATCTGCGCCTGTGCAGCACCACTCTGTCGGCCGACAGCGGCTGGGCGCCTCCTGCCGGCCAGAGTTGGCGGAACGGCAACTGCCGGTTCCTTCTGTCGGCCCGCTGCGCCGTGGTTCGGCATTTCCCAGGTACGGAATAGCGCGCTCTTTCACAAGGACACGGCGCTAGCTTGGAATATACATGTGAACGGAGAGGCTGCAAACGCGAAAAAAAAGGGGAAGGTGATTTGAGGACTAACGTGAGGTGTTAATGGAACTTCAGCACCGCAGATTAAAAAAATGGTGCCTTGTATTCGAAAGTTCGTTCCGCCTTCCCTTTACTCTCTTCCGCTCCCCCGTCCCCGTCCAGATGGCTGTGCGGATCCCGACCCTTGCGCGTCCGCGACTTGCGCGTGGAATGGCGGGCGCCCCGCAGCCCTGGCGGGATGCGCGCCGTTCCCCGCGTGCTACTTCGCAGGGGGGGTGTGTCGGCGGAAGCGCAAGCGTTCCCCCGAATGCCTCGTCCGCGACGCCGCGATTTCCGTTGTTCCATCGCCTGTCAGCAACACTACCGTTCGGGTTACCAGTAGCCGCACTCTAAAAAGCCAACGTGGCAAGAGCAGCCACATCAGTGCCGCTGCCGCTATAGCTTCGCCCCTGCCCAAGAAACTGCCCGCGAAGAGAATACCGCGTCCCCTCCCGCGGGCTCAGTCCGCGCAATCGCCTCCGCCTCGGTCCCCCCGGCGCTCTCCGCCTCCCCATAAGAAGACGGCGGGGAAGAAGTCTTTCCTTGTCTTCCGCTGGAAAATCTCCCTTCCCCATCGGCGCAGAAGATCCGCTCCGCCCTTCCGCCGCAAGAAGTCCCCCCCTCCCCCAAAGAAACCTGACATCCTCCCGCCCGATGCACCTTTTTCGTCCCCGCCGCCTCCGCGGCCGCCGCCCAGCCCCCCGCCCAGCCCACCGCCTCCGAAACGACCTCCTCCCCCGCCTCCGCGCCCTCCTTCCCCGCCGCCTCGGCCTCCTCCCCGCCCGCCTTCCCCGCCACCACCGCCGCCACCACCCCCCCCGTCTCCCCCTCGTCCGCCTCCCCCACGGCCTCCTCCGCGGCCTCCCCCATCCCCGCCGCCGTCTCCGCCTCCCCGTCCGCCTCCCCCTCGACCTCCCCCATCGCCGCCACCCCGTCCTCCGCCACCCCCGCCACCGCCTTCCCCGCCGCCTCCGCCGCCTCCGCTTCCGCCGCTACCGCCGGGCGAGTACGACCCGCGGTACCTGGGCGCCGTGGGGGACGGCGCTGCGAACGACACGGGACCGCTGCAAGCGACGTTCAAGCTGGCGTGCGCGTATGCGAACGCGACGAGCGCTCGCGCTACGATTACCTTCCCCGAAGGCTACACGTTCTTACTAAGAAGGGCGATTAACTTCGCCGGACCGTGCGGCACAGGGACGATTACCGTGCAGCTAGACGGAATCCTCGCCGCGGACCCGAATCCCGCTGCTATTGGCTCGACTCCCCCAAATGGCGCGATCGTGTCCATCAGCAAGATTCCAGGGATGCGATTGGTCGGGACGGGCGCGATCGACGGTCAGGGGAGTGTGTGGTGGTCGCAGTATAAAGCGGGGAGCAAGGCAGAGCGGCCAGATCTGCTGTTTATATCGCGGTGCAATGGGATGGAGATGGGTGGCATTCAAGTCCGGTGAGTCTTAGGAAGGGGGGAGGGGGGAGGGGACGAGGTGAGAGGGAGCGGTAGGACGCGGGGGTCGCGGAGAAGCGGTATTGGGGGAAGGGGATTGGGGAAGCCATAAAGTGTTGAAAAAAAAAAAACTCAACTCTCGATGGGAACAAGTCGCCCACATTTCACCTGAAACATTGTTCTGAAGTGACCAAAAGCATTTTTTTTCTTCCTGCCCGTGGGCGCAACTCGCCGATGTTTCCCTCCAATGGATTGCTTAGGGCGTGTAACTATTTTCCGGACCAACGGTCCGGACCACATGCGAAAGTTTTCGTCCATGCTCGCATGTTCTCCAATTCGATAACGAGCTCGGACAGTCCGGACCGTGAGCGGGATACCCTATTCGCATGCCGTCCGGACCACATGGTTCGGAAAAAGGTTACACTCCCTTACACTGACCAAAAGAACCTTTTCTCCTTGTTCCCGTGGCTGGCAGCAACCCGCCGATGTTCCACATGAACATCAAGGACCTGGCAGGCGCGTGGATCCACGACATCAGCACGAGCACGCCCTACAACAGCCCCAACACCGACAGCCTGCACCTCACTCGGACAACTGACGTGCTCGTGGAAGACTACTCGTCGCACGGAGGTGAGTTGGTGTCGCACGGAGGTGAGCTGGTGTCGCACGGACTTGTACTCACGGATTCCCCAATACGGACAGCCTGCACCTCACATGCGCCACGGACGTGCTTGTGGAGGACTACGCGTCTGCACGGGGCGGGTATGCTTGTTGAGTCTTGGGGTTTGCAAGGGCCGTGTGTTGGCCCGAACATGGGGTGCGTGCTAACCTTGGCTGGCTTCCTTTCCCTTGCTTGACCTCTTCCCCCTCTTCATTCAACCTTCTCTCCTTTTTCCACTCCCCCTCTCCCCCTTCTCTCCCTCGCCCTCTCTCCCCCACCTCCCGCCCCCTGCTGCTGCTCCAGGCGATGACAATGTGTCGATTGTGGGGGGATGCAGGAACATCACCATTCGCAATGTGGTCGCCACAGCAGGCCATGGCATCAGGTGCGTACATGGGATCATGTGTACATTATTTTTTTTGTCTCATGGGTTCCGGTCGCGTGTCAACGGTGTGCAGTCATCCCTTTCCCTTCATCCTTCTTCCTGGGCATGGACGGCAGTCTGGCGTGTGTGTCAACTGCATGTTCATATCGTCTCTTTTGTCTTTCTCCATCTCCCCTTGCCCGTCCTTCCCTTCTCCTTTCTCCGCTCGCCCTTTTCCCTTCCCTCCCCTTCCCACACCAGCATTGGCAATCTGGGCATGGTCGGCAGTCTGGATGTGTTTGCCATTTCACTGTGCCATCCCTTTTCTGTCCTTCTGTCCTTTCCTCCCCCCCCCCCCCCCTGACCAGCATCGGCAGCATCGGCAGTCTGGACATAGACGGCAGTGTGGCGTGTGTGTCAAGTGCATGTTCATAACTTCTTCTTTGCCTTTCTCCTTCCTCCCTTTGTTCTCTTCACCAGCATCGGCAGTCTGGGAATGGACGGCACTCTGGCGTGTGTGTCGGACATCCGGGTGCAGAACGTGCAGCTAGCAGCGCTCTCCAACGGGCTGCGCATCAAAACCTACCAGGGCGGCCAGGGCGCCGTCTGGAACATCCTCTACGAAAACGTCACCATGCAGGACGTGAAATACCCCATCATTATTGACCAGGTATGTGTATGTGTGTGTGTGTGTGTGTGTGTGTGTGTGTGTGTGTGTGTGTGTGTGTGTGTCTGTGTCTGTGTCTGTGTGTGTCTGTGTGTGTGTGTGTGTGTGTGTGTGTGTGTGTGTGTGTGTGTGTATGTGTGTGTGTGTGTGTGTGTATGTGATACATGTGCATATAGTAATAACTTCTGTGCCCTTTCTCACTCCTTCACTCACTCACAAACACACCCTTGTGCTCTGCTAACTCCGCTGCGACAATGTCACTGATGCTGAACAATGTCACTGATGCTGAACGATGTCACTGATGCTGAACAATGTCACTGATGCTGAACAATGTCACTGATGCTGAACAATGTCACTGATGCTGAACAATGTCACTGATGCTGAACAATGTCACTGATGCTGAACAATGTCACTGATGCTGAACAATGTCACTGATGCTGAACAATGTCACTGATGCTGAACAATCTCACTGATGCTGAACAATGTCTCTGATGCTGAACAATGTCACTGATGCTGAACATCAAGTGCGACACCAGCACCAGCGCCACCGCCGACGTTGCCACATGCCTTATCCAGCAAATCAAATCATCCAGGCTCTTCCCTTAATGCACCCTCTTCCCTTGCTTCCCATCCCCCCCCCCCCCACTCCCCCCCCACCGCACCAGTACTACTGCGATACCGCAACCGCGTGCCTCATCCAGCAGAGCGCAGTGGCCATCTTCAACATCACATACCGCAACGTGCAGGGCACCACCAACGGTACCCGCGGAATCACCTTGAACTGCAGCGCCTCCGTGCCGTGCCAGCAGATTCGCCTCGACAACATCAACATAGATTCATCGTATCCGGACGATCACTCGAAAGCAGTCCTACAGCCCACGTATGTCAACGTGTATGGCCTGTCTACGGGAACGATTATCCCCGCGGTGTTAAACGGGACAGGTGTGAGTGGGTGGGTGGATGCGGGTTTGCCTGTAGACCAGGCAACTAATTTTATGAATCAGGTGGCCAAGTGTGGGGTGGTGCAGCCGTGGACCTTCTCTCCTCCTCCTCCCAATCCTCCTCCCTCTCCTCCTCCTCCCCCTCCCCCCAGCCCACCGCCGTCGCCGCCTCAACCCCCCCCCAAGCCTCCCCCACGCCCTCCGCCTTCTCCACCTCCTGCTCCGCATCCTCCTCCCTTGCCGCCTCCTCCCCCCCCTCTTCCTCCGCCACCCCCACCTAAACCCGTCTCCAGTGCTTTCACTTCCCCAGAAGAACCCTTATTTCCAAACGATCCATTCATTCTCCCATCCTACTCTCCACCACCACCACCCCTGCCCCCTTTTTCCCCTGAAAAGCTCCTACCTGCTCCACCCCAGCAGCTTCCTCTTTCAATACCCACAATCCCTCCACCTCCTCCTGTGTTCTCCTTCCCATCTCCTCCTTCCTCTCCTCCCCCTCCTCTACTAATCTCATCAAGTCCGCTCAAATTGTCAGGGTCACCACCACCACCCCCACCAGCAGCACTACCACGGCCGCCACCACCGCCGCCGCCGCCAGCACTACAATCATTGTAGATTTCTTATACAACTGCCACCTCCCTCTACTTAACGAGCGGGGGGCTGTCAAGTCAACTACAAGTGATTCAGGCACACCTGTTATGCCATGAAGTAAATAAGTGGTCTATACTGCACCCCATAGACCCCTGGTGCAAATGGCTCTGATATGTGGAGCAAGGGAGAGGTGCAGTAGTGGAGTAGCCGGCTGAGTAGGTAGTGCATCTTTGCAAGAATCTACCGGGTTTGTGCAGAATGATGCGGTTGTATCACGTAGGTAGGTACTGGTTGTCAAATTGACCAGAAATGAAAGAGCACGGAGAAGTGTTGGCGATTGTCCCGTTGTCTGCTACTGGTCATTCTCCTGTCCTGTCCTACAGCATGGCCTGCCCCTTCGGGCTCTCCTAAAACACCTCGCCTCCAGTCCTGAGTCACACACTCACAGACTTTCTCTGGCACACCAAAAGGATGCATGATGGGCGTGCATCTCAGAGGAGCTCGATACAATGCTGTTGCAGGTTGTTTTTCTCACGTGGTTGTGCCTCTTCTCTTGCTTATAAGAGCTCGTAACACCTGCAACAAACACAAGTCCATTGCCTTTTTGTCTTGCTTCAATTGACTGTCACTTGCTTATGAAAGCTGGCAAATCTAAACCCAGAAGATGCAACCACATATGAACCGTACTACACTCATCAGCAGATCACTGTAGACTGTCCAGGAACTCATCATCCCGTTCCGTATCGCTGGTACCACCAGCACCTTCTTCCAGAACCCCAACCTTCCTGTAGGCACCACCACTGGCACCGCCACTCACTCCAACACTCCCCATCTCCTGCCCTTCCTCCTCTCCTCCTCTCCCTAGATCCCTCCCATCATCCCCTTGCTTGCCTCCCAGTGCCTCAACAGCCCCCCCACCTGTCCTCTCCACCACACCTGCCACCAGATTACCTGCTTCTACAGTCGGGTTGTGTTCCGAACCGTGACGCTGGGAGGGCACAGGGAGAGGAGGGGGGCTGACTAGTACAGAAAGGTCAGTGGTACTGGTAATGGCGAATTCACCTGGAGCAGTGTGATCGCCAGTGGCAGTGCCAGCACCGCTGCCACTGCCAGTGACAGTGCCACTGCCGCTGCCAGTGACGGTGCCACTGCCGCTGTTACTGCCGCTGCCACTGGCACCAACAGAGGCCACACCCGCAGTAGCAGCAGCACCAGCAACCCATGCAGACACAGCACCAGCACGAGCGGCACGGGCAGCTCCCGTTGCAAGAGCAGCAGGAGCAGGAGACGGGACATCTATAGCCGAGCCATAAACCGATGATGCAGCAGAGGCATATGCTGAGGAGTGCACAGAGCCGTAAGCAGAGGAGTAAGAGAGAGAGGACGTGGTGGAGGCGGAAGAGTGGGAGGCGGACTGGGGGGAGGAGTGGGCGGAGGTGGAGGGATGGGCGGGTGCGGCGCGCAGGCGTGCTTGCAGGTGCCGCACCTCCTCTTCCGCTCGCTCCAGCTGCTGCTGCCGGCCCCGCAGCTCACTCGTGTACAGGTCAAACACGCCTGTGCGTTGGGGGAATGGAAATGGGGTGGACCGAGGTGAGATTGACTTGAATATTAATTTGGAGTTCTGTGTGCTTGATAGTGTACAGGTCAAACACGGCCATGCGTTGGGGAGAACGGAAATGGGGGTAGATGGAGGCTGTACAGAGGTATGAGTTGACTGAAGTGTCACTCTGCTGCTGCTGCTGCCGGCCCCAGAGCGGCACTCGCTCGTGCACAGATAAAAAATCACTACATGTTGGGGAGAATGGGGAGGGTGGTGGCAGAGGTGTCACTGGGAACAGAAGCAACTATAGAAGTAGCATGCATGGTGCTGATAGGATGTTCTCCTGTGGTCCTCTGCCCTGCAGCTCACTCCACTCCTCCACTCCATAACACTCCCCTCCTTTCCTTCGCCCCCTTTTTCCCCTCTCCCCCCGCTCTCCCCCGCCTCTCCCCCGTCTCTCCCCCACCGCGCCCCCACCTGAGGTGGCCTCCATGTCTCGCTGCGCCTGTGCCAGTGCGTCCTGCATGCGCCGTCGCTCCTCCTCGCTCTCCCGCCTCCCCGCGCGCGCCTCCCTCGCCGCCTCCACCGCCGCGTCCAGCTCCCCCTGCAGCCCCGCCACGCGCCGGTTCAGCGCCTGTGGGGTGGGTACAAGGGGGGGAAGAAAGGTGGGGAAGGGGGGGGATACGGGGAGGAGGGGAGGGGGAAGAGGAACAGCTGAGTCGCCTCCACCCCCGAGTCCAGCTCCCCCTGCAGCCCCCCCACGCGCGTTCAGCGCCTGTGGGGTTGGGTGCAATGGGGAGAGGGGGGCCGTGGGGAGTAGGCGGAGGTGGGGAGGGGGAAGGGGAACGCTTGAGTCGACTCCAAGGTCATCCAGCCCCCCCTCGCGCCGATTCAGCGCCTTTGGGAGTGGGTACAGGGAGGCGGACGGGGATATACTATCAGAGAACGGCCGAAATGTGGTCAACGGAACGACCCAGTGACATTTTTTTAATTCAACGCAAAAGCGATTCGGCCGAAGTGAGTCATTCGTCGAATCACTCACATGCAGCTGCCGTTGCCCGTCGTACACACTCCGCGCCGATCGCATCGCGTTGGCGTCTAGAAACAACGTATCTGGTCCCAACAGCAGCTGCTCCAGCGCTCCCACCAAGCTCTCCGCGTCGCGAAGCCCCTGAACAGCCTCCCTCCATCGTTCCACGTCATCTCCGCCGTTATCCGCGACGGAAACCGTGCCAGAACCAGTCTTGGCGCTCCCAGCGATTCCCCGCGCGGCCAGACCAGGAGATCCTCCCGCGAGGTGAGATCCTTGTGTTGCCAGCCCTACGGATTGTTGTGCCGAGGCAGATTCCGAACCTGGTCCGGAGGACAGGGCACGGGCGGAACCTGAACCAGGACCGCGGCCTACACCGTATAACTCACGAACTAACGGCTGGGGTGGATTAATAGGAGCGGAGTCGCGAGATGAGAAGGAGGCGAGTGGGTGATATGGCGCAGAGGACATGTTGGGAGCTGACGTGGCGTTGCTGCAAGCAGATCGGATGGGATCGGATGGGAAGGATAAGGTCTCGGAACGGGAACCACAGAGACCATGAACCGCGCGTCGCTGAGATTAAAAATTTTTAAGACAGGCCTCCAGTCATGTGGATGTTGTACGGTTCTAGATGATGCGACGCGAGGGCTCCGGCATCACAGCGCAGCGAATGGATTCACAGTTTCTGCTCGCATTCCGTCGCCTAGAAAATGGTGGCTGATGAATTCTATACATCTTGCGTTGTGTGCATGTCTGCTCCAGCCCATTTTGGTGCTTTCGTGCTTCATTCGGCTTGACATTGATCGAACCAAATGAACCGAGCGTGTACCGTCGCACACCGTGTAGATTTCAGCAGAAACTTGGTTCGTCCCGAACCTCTTCCAACCAGGCTAGGTATCGCTGGCAATGACCCCATGAATCTGCAAACTTGCAATTGAGGAAATGACGAACCGCAGTGTTTTCTTGTTTTCGATTCCAATGGGCAGTGGTTTTGACCGCGCATCGCTCCGCGATCGCGCCCGATTCCCGCGGGCAGTTTGTTGGCCTTAACGCACATTGTAAGTTAATTTACGGGGCAAACAATATATTACCCTCTCGGGAAACACGTACTTTGGGAGGCATCAACCCTAAACACAATGTGGCAAGGTGTTTAGGGTTGATGCATCCCTAAAAGCATGTCTTTCCCTAGAGGGTTTATTATTTTTTCCCATGTAGAACTGCTTCGAGAAAAAACAAACTGCCCGTGGGAATTTGACGCGATCGTGAAGCAATGTGCGGTCAAAACCACTGCCCATTGGAATCGAAAAAAACGAAACCACGGCGGCTCGTCATTTCCTCCTTGCAATTCCCAAATTCACCATGACACCGGAATCAGAAATCCCCAGGAGAACTAGCATGGTTGTTGTATATCGCACCTTTTACCACCTCATACCACCTGATCTCTCATGCTTGCCTTGTCGCCATGATCAACTGTGGTCCCACATACACTATCATAGACATCCTCCCTCCCTCGTGCATAAGCATGCGCCTCCAGCCCCACCCGTCCCCTCCTTGGCTTTAGGGAGGTGGAAGCATGTGCCTCCCTGCCTACGCCCGCGTTTGTCAAACGGGCTTTCTGTCTAGACCAATCCGTGCTCGCTGGAACTTGTTTTCACGAAAAGGGATGCACGTGGACGTACCGGCAGGAGTTTGGACTCCGAGGTTGTGGGCCGCTTTGCTATAGAACATGTTGCTGTCCTTCCTCCCATGCTTGCGACTCGGAATGGCCTGCCATGGTTGTGTACTTGCCTTGGGACGCTGAATTACTTAAATCTCACTGCGCGTTAGCTTTTCCTGGATGTCCTTCTGAAGACCGCAGGTCCCATAAGTTGTCAAAGCGTGGGGGTCGTTTTAAGTCATCTCCACGACGAGGAACAGAATGGCAGGAACCCACTCTTGGCCGTGGGAGGAGTCGGCTAATCTTTCGGAGGTAATTCGCTGCCTTCGTCCCCTCCCAAGTGACAAGGAACGCCAACGGACAGTCGTTGAGAAGGTCGCGAAGGCTCTCAGAGAAAGCGAGGAGCTCAGGGAGAGCCTGGGACTAGCAGAGGTCGTTCCTGCTGGCTCTCATGGTCGAAAAACTGACATAAGGAACAATTTCGAGGTTGACCTGGTTGTTATTTGCAACAAGTTCACAGTCGACGCGTTTGATAGCATGCTGGAGGTAAGTACGCGCACTGGATGTCACATCAGGAAGATTATGGTGGTGGATTTGGATAATGATTATCGCGTGATTTCTTGGCAGAGTCTTGCGGCGTTTAGTCGAGAGAACCTGGATACGGAGTACGTCTATGTGGGAAAGCTGCGAATCATGCTCAAGATGGACGGGATTATCGTTGATCTTTTGATTGCCGGCTTAATGGACGAAGAAAGGTTGACGCGCATGCATTTCATGACCCCGAGGAATCGAAAGAAGTGGGGTGCTTCTTGCTCCAAGCTTCAGTTGGAGTTTATGCGGAAGAAGATCGGCTCAACAAGCGTCCTTAGGTAGGCTTGTATGATATGTTGTTGTTTCTCTTTTGTGAAGGTGGGTTCACACTCAGTAGCTCTGTCATTGCAGGGATAGAATTGTCCTCGTCAAGCATTGGAAGCAGACTAGGAAAGCAGTTAACGATGTTTTTAAGTGGCCAAGCTCGTGGCTGCTTGAGCTCTTGGTCACGTATGCTATGGATCGGTCGTGGTCCCCTGGCCCAGTTTGCAGCCAACCTGAACTGTTCATTCCGGAGCCTTTAAATGGGGTAGGGTTGTTTCTTTCGACTATGCAGCTAATCTGTCATGTGCAGTGTAAAAACGTTCAGGTTGTTTGGATGCGAGAATCGACAGGGGGGTGCTACAAAGGTGGGCATGCATGACAATTGAACTTGCCTTCAGATTTCTTACGATTTGCTAACCGACCTTGCTGTGCATGCAGAAAGGGACGTTAGAGCACTGTTGGACTATGCGGAACGACAGGATCAGCCTGTAGTAGCCGACCCTGTGGATGCCACAAACAATGTGGCAGCCGTTCTCTCAGTTGCAGACTGGAGCGGCCTTGCTCAAGAAGCACGTTTGATGATTCAACATGCTGCATCACAGCAGCAGCTGTATAGCAAATTGATGGCGCCCCAGGGAGTTTGTGCACCAGAGGTGGATCAGCTGAATCCCTGTAGTGTTCTGAACGAACTCTTCCAGAGGCTGGGCATGGAAACCCCGATATATGACAGAGAAATCCAGTCAGTTCTTCTTCCACCGTGAGTATATGGTAATCTGGCATCTGTATGGGATGGGATAAGGTACTAGTTTCATTGTTTTGTACATTTAGTCATTACTGTGTGTGCGTTTGTGCATGTTTTTTCCTCCGTGGCCCTCCACTCGCAGATTCATTTCAACAGTGAAAGGGCGACTTCCATGTCAATGCGTTATCGAGGCTTACAGCGACGAGAGGCCGACAAAAAAGGCTGCCAAGCGTTCAGCTGCTGATAAGGCAATCACAATGATTAGTGAACATATTTGTCGTTAGGTTTTAGTAAGTATTACTGCATAACAATGCTTCCAAATGCAATGTTGGTGAATATGCATGGACACTCCATAATCTCGAAAAATCATTCCATAAGATACAATGCAAGAATGTTTGTGCTTTGGAAACACTTCAACACTGCCGTTCTGGTAAACAAGGCTGTAGTATCCCCCTTACTTCAACAAGGCTGTACAGTATGTGGTCCTGAATGGCGTGGCGCCAACGGTGACTGACGTCACCCATCACATCCAACGTATCGCCCGTCACGCGTCGTAACATCACCTGATGGGTTTTGCACCAATCGCATGCGCACTCTGCCTTTGGTTTGTGGAGACATCTCGGTGCTGCCCAGACTCGGTGCCACATCAGCTCGAGGGTTTGACAGACCCCCCCACCCGCCCCACCCCAGCGCAGAGGATGTGACATGGAAGTGTACTGTGTGCATGCCATCAATCCATACCTCGTGCTGCCGCTGCGCGACAACGACTTGTGCAACACGCTACCCCTCCTTTGCCTCATTCTGCTTTTCCTTTCACACCACACCCTCCCTGATGCCCGTTCCCTGCTTCTCATTCTATCGGTGGTTTTCGATTTCGAGCTTCTTGGGAGTCAGGGGCGGAAAGCAGGGCGCGGGAGTCTAGGGTGCTTAGGTACTCTGAATATTGGTTTCCCGTTTAGGTTTCGCTTCCGCGCTTGTGAATATGGCCGCGTCAGACAAACGTCCTTTCAAGAAGCAGCACTCGCTAGGTACCGTGTGTGGTTTCAGTACGTTTTTGCGATTGAAGCTGTGGCGCCTGTGCCTGTTATCGCGCCTTACTTACGAGACGTTCATCCCTTCGATATCTGCGTTTCTGTTTTGCAGAGAAGAGAAAATCCGAGGCTGAAAGAATTCGGGAGAAATATCCCGATAGAATTCCTGTGCGTTTCCACCCTTTGTCAGTCATTTGTGCTTCTCCTCCTCGCCGGTTGCTTATTGTGTTTTCACGCTCAACGCTCTCAGGTGATTGTGGAGAAGGCAAGGAGGAGCAAGGCTCCTGATATCGATAAGAAAAAGTGAGCTTCATAGTCAGGCTGGCGTACCGTTTTGTGTATCGTTCTTCCTGTTCGTCATCCTCTCGATTTGCTTCTGTATTTGCAGGTATCTGGTGCCGTCGGACTTGTCAGTTAGCCAGTTCATGACTGTTATTAGGAGGAGGATAAAGCTCGAGGCGGAGCAGGCGATTTTCCTGTTTGTTCACAACACAATTCCACCATCGGGTATGATTGGTTATTTCGTTTGTTCCTTTGTTTGTCACTTGCCAGTTTTTTTTATTCACCTTTTTCTTGTTTTCCGATGCAGCTGCACTGATGTCATCTATCTATGATGACCATAAGGACGAAGACGGGTTTCTCTACATAGTTTACAACGGGGAAAGTACGTTCGGCTAGGTGCTGAAATGTAGCATGTACATACGTAGTTTAATTCTGGGTGCTGGGTGTGTCCTGCGTGGGAGGTGTGTAATTTTGTGCTTGCATAAAAGATGATACGGCTACTCCAGGGCTATTGTACATACTACTAGTTGGAGCTTATATTGAGCGAAACAGATTTAGTTCATTCCTCTGTAGGAAGTCCTGCAACAGGAACAATCTTAGGGCGTGTAACCATTTTGCACGGACCATCCGTTGAAAATGATGGTTACTGGTGTCGCCAGTTTCGTTTCTCGCATGGAACATGACTGTGGAATGGGGGAAAGAACTCTCAAACTTAGAATGCAACGGAATGCTTGACTAGAAAGGAGTTAGGGTACAAATAGGAAACCCTAACATGTTTGTACTCACTAAGAAGCACCTCACTACAGCCTATCACAAATATCAATATTTGACACACCCCCATAGGCTAAGTGAGGGGCATCAAAACAAGCAAGGCAGACAAACGGTCACAAGACCAGTCAAGACA